GCTGGATCATATGGTAGTTCTCTTTTTAGTTTTTTTTTTTTTTGATGGACTAATTTACTTTCCTACCAACAAGTGTACAAGGGTCCACTTTTCTCTACATCTTCCCCAGCGTTTGTTGTTGCCTGACTTTTGAATAAAAGTCACTTTAATTGGAGTGAGATGGTACCTCATTGTAGTTTTGACTTATATTTCTCTGATGATCAGCGACATTCAGCACCTTTTCATATTCCTGTTTGCCATGTCTTTAAGAAGTGTCTAAATAAGATCATTTGCCCACTTTTTAATCAGATTATTAGATTTTTTTCCCCACTGAATTGTTTAAGCTCCTTATATATTCTGGTTATTAATTCCTTATCAGATGGGTAGTTTACGAGTATTTTCTCCCACTCCATGGGCTGTCCCTTCACCTTGTTGGTTGTTTCCTTTTTAACTTGATATGATCTAATTTCTTCAGTGTCGTTTCTATTGATAGATTCATCTTTTAATCTTCCTGTTTAAGGTATGAGTAGTTGACACACCACAATTACAATGTTATAATATTCTCTATTTGTCTGTGTCTTTGCTGTTACCAGTGAGTTTTGTATGTTCACATGATTTCTTACTGTTTGTTAATGTCCTTTTCTTTCAGATTGAAGAACTCCCATTAGCATTTCTTGTTGGCTGTTGATGAAATTTCTCAGGTTTTGTTTGTCTGGGAAACTCTCTATTTCTCCGTCATGTTTGACATTTTTTTCCTCCAGTACTTTAAATATGTCATGCCTCTCTCTCCCTGGCCTGTAATGTTTCCACTGAGAAGTCTGCTCCTTTGTTTGTTGTTCCTTTTTTCTTGCTGCTTCTAGGATCCTTTCATTATCTTTGAACTTTGGGAATTTGTTTATTAAATGTCTTGAAATAGTCTTATTTGGGCTAAATCTGCTTGGCGTTCTATAACCTATTGTAATTGAGTATTAATATCTGTAGGTTTGGGAAGTTCTCTGTTATTATGCCTTTGAATAAACTTTCTACCCAGTCTCTCTCTCTCTACCTCCTCTTTAAGGCCAGTAACTCTTGGATATGCCCCTTTTTAAGACTATTTTCTAGATCTTGTATGTGTACTTCATTCTTTTTAAATTTTGACTCTGTAGATTTTCAAATCGCCTGTCTTCCGGCTCACTAATTCTTCTGTTTGAGCAGTTATGCTGTTGAGACTCATGCATTCTTCAGTATGTCATAAATTTCTGGATGTTCATAGATGGGCATAGAAGAGTCTGGGATTTATGTAATCTTTGCAGTCTGGGCTTGTTTGCATTTGTTTTTCTTGAGAAGACTTTCCAGGTATTCAAAAGAAATTGAGTGTTGTGATCTAAGGCTTTGGTCACTGCAGCTGTATCTACATTAGGGGCACCACAAGCCCAGTAATGCTGTGATTCTTGCAGACTCATAGAGGTACCACCTTGGTGGTCCTGGATAAGATCCAGGAGAATTTCCAAGTTTAGCAGGCAAAATTTCTTGCTCCTTTTCCTTACTTTCCCCCAAATACACAGTCTCTCTCTTCATGCTGAGCTGCCTAGAGTTGGAGCAGAAGTGAAGCACCCCTGTGGCTACCACTGCTGGGACTGTGCTGGGTCAGACCTGGAGCCAGCCCAGCACCGGGTCTCAGTCAAAACCTGTGGTGACTATTGCCTGGCTACTGCTGATGTTTATTCAAGGCCTAAGGGCCCTTTAGTCCTCAGATGAGGAATCCAGCGAGGCTTGTGTCTTTCTCTTCAGGGTGCTGGGCTCCCTTCTAGCCCAGAGTGGGTCTTAGAAATGCTATCTGAAATCTACAACTTTGGGAGTCTACAACTTTAGGAGTCTGCTTGGTGCTTTATTTTACTGTGGCTGAGCTGGCACCCAAGTTGGAAGACAAAGTCCTTTACTCTTCCCTCTCCTTTCCTCAAACCAAAGGGATCTGTACCAGTGGCCAGCATCACCCCAGGCCTGTGGCAGCACCAGTGATGTTTATTCAGGGCCCAAGTGCTCTTTAGTCAGCTGGTCTCAGTCTCTCCCTTCAGGGCAGTGGGCTCCCTTCAGGTCCGGGGCGGGTCTAGAAATGCTGTGCAAGAACTAAGGCCTAGAATCAGGGACTTTAGGAGCCTACTTGGTGCTTTATTTTACTATGGCTGAGCTGGTGCCCAGGTTGCGAGACGACATCCCCTTCACTCTTCCTTCTCCTTTCTTCAAGTGGAAGGAATCTCTCCCTGTGACCATCACAGCTGAAAACTCACTGGCTCACACCTGAAGCCAGTACAGTATGTGGCCCATGACGAGTACTGCGTGGGCGCCACTGATGTTTAACCTCTTTGGTCAGCAGGTGATTAATGCTGCCAGGACTGGGTTCTTCCCTTCAAGACAGTGGGTTTCCCTCCTGGTCCAGGCTGTGTCAGAAATGTCATCTGGGAGCTAGGACCTGGAAGGGGGACTTCTGGACTCTGGTGCTTTATTTTACTGTGGCTGAGCTGGTATCCAAGTTACAAGACAAAGTCCTCTTTACTCTTCCCTCTCCTCCCTGAGCTGTGAGCTGTGCTGCCTGGGGTTGGGGGAAGAGTGGTACAAGCACTCCCTTGGCTGCTCCAGCTGGTGTCCCACTGGGTCATGTGCACCCCAAGTCCACTGGCTCTGAGCCCAGCACAGCACCAAGACTTGTCCAGGAATTGCAGCCCTTGTGGCCTAGACTGTCTTTCACACTTGCTTAGGACTCCAGAGTACTTTAGCCCACAGAGGTGGGGCTTGCCAGAACTCAGATTCTCACTGGGATGGAAGACTCCCCTCTAGCTAGGGCTGGTCTAAATGCTTCTTCCATGGGTGCTGCCTGAATTCTGTCCTGTGTTGCTTTCTGCTATGATGGGACAGCACCAAATTCCAATACAAAGTCTCACAATCATTGTGCTTTCCCTCCCCATGGCTGCACAGATGCTGTCTCTGTACCATGTGGTTGCTGCCAACGAATGAGGGAAAGGGGATGTTGGAGAGTCAAGCCTCTTTCTTCCCCTCTCCAGTGCCTCTTTCCTTAATAGAATGTTAAAAACAGGCACTGTGATCGTTCACCTGATTTTTGGTGCTTATGAAGATGCTTTCTTATGTGGCTAGCAATTCCATTTGGTGTTTCTGTAGGAAGGGTGCATTGCTGAAGGAGTCTTTTCAGCCGTCTTGCTCTGTCTCCAGGTCTCCCCTCCCTTCCTTATCCTTTATCACAACGTCCCAGTGAATGACCCTGCAGTGTTACCTCCCAGTGTTCATTCATTCATCAAATATTCATTAAATGCCTCCTGTGTGTGATGCTGTGTAGACACTGGGGATGCAATCGTGAATTAAACAGAGAAGTCCCTGTTGCCATAGAGCTTATAGCCAGAAGGTTTTGCACGTGAAATGTAATTGGAAAAAAATTTTATTGCATACAAAGAAACCCCACCCCTACCCCAAGTCTAGGAAGAAGTCTATTAGGCATCAAGCTTAGATTACATGGTAAATATACAGCTATTCAGTAATGTTAATTGAAGCACTGTAGAAAAGGGACAATGATGTTTATTGCAGCATTTTTGTAATAATAAAATACTATATTAAGACAGTGAAATGCTGTGCAGCAATTAATGACCAGCATGATGTGTATCAGTATGGATACATTTTAAAAACACAGTTGGACGCGTGCTGTTGCTCACGCCTGTAATGCCAAAACTTTGGGAGGCCGAGGCAGGTGGATCACCTGAGGTCAGGAATTCAAGACCAGCCTGGCCAACATGGTGAAACCCTATCTCTACAAAAAAATTAGCTAGGTGTGGTGGCACATGCCTGTAATCCCAGCTATACTTGGGAGGCTGAGGCAGGAGAATCCCTTGGACCTGGGACGTGGAGATTGCAGTGAGCTGAGATTGCATCACTGCACTCCAGCCTGGGCGGCAGAGCAAGACTCAGTCTAAAAAAAAAAAAAAAAGAATAGAAAAGAAAACAGTTAAAAAGCAAGAGCATGCAGTATAATACAGATACAGTATAATCCACTGCAAAAGCACAATGTAGTATAACATTGTATAAAACAGCAATACTGCATATTATCATGGACACATACGTATATAGTAAAAGTGAAAAACCCTTCAAGGGATGACCACATATCAATTTTAGGATAATACTACTCTCTGAGGTGGAAGGGAAGGTAGAGGCTTTAAGAAATTCTTATTAAAGTAAAAAGATTTTGCAAATGTGGCAACATTTAACTATTGTTAAATCTGTTTGGTGCATGATTATTTTTGGTGCTTTTCTGTGTATTTAAAGTGTTTAACAAAAATTGAACAGGTGGAGCGACTATGCTGTGCCACTTTTGTGCTTCTGGTGCATGCACGTTTCTGTGTGCCTTCTGTCTGCATTCTCTATCACATTTTTGCTGTGATAGAGCATGAATGTGATAAAGAATCTTTAGAGATTCCTCTAAAGAAGCATTGCAACCACAAGTATCTTTATGTGTATGTAAGGGGACCTGAGGGTTTGCAGATTAGCCTGATTTCAGGGATGTTGTTCACAGCTCAGCAGCAGAGGGCGCTGCTCCACAGCGGATGTGTGGTGAGGGCGGCCGCACCAGGCATCTCTCTTGGTGCATGGCCAGTGTCTCCCAGGGAAGCATTGCACTCCCCAGCTGCGGAAAGAGGAATGTTTAAGTGCGTGTAGATTCTCTCCTGCTTGTAGGAAGCATCACAGGATCCAGTCCTTTGGGAGCATACATTGTGTTTCTCTGACTGTTTACAGCCTTGGCTGTTTCCGAGGTAATGCAAGAAACCTCACGTGCCAAAAGCGTTTTTGCTACTGTGGTCATGAGCCTGCTGCTGACTTGTGGGGAGCTTTTTGTAATGTTTTATTTTAGATTGAATAGTTTCATGAGCAGGTTTGTTACATGGGTATATTGCATCATGTTGGGGCTTGGGCTTCTAGTGGACAGGTCACTGTGGGAATTTTGTTGTTGTTAAACTGACCAAGGAACCTTCCTTTTATTTTAGGTGGAAAAGGATTATTCATACCTGAAGGAGATATGTGATCACCAAGCAGAACAGCTAAGTAGGACCAGCCTAAAGCTGCAAGAAAAAGCTTCAGAGAGTGATGCAGAGATCAAAGACATGAAAGAAACCATATTTGAATTGGAAGATCAGGTGGAACAGCACCGGGCTGTCAAGTTACACAATAATCAGCTTATCAGTGAGCTAGAAAGTAAGTGGGATTGGCCGGGCATGGTGGCTCATGCCTGTAATCCCAGCAATTTGGGAGGCCAAGGCAGGTGGATCACCTGAGGTCAGAAGTTTGAGACCCAGACTGACCAACATGGTGAAACCTCATCTCTACTAAAAATACAAAATTAGCCAGGTGTGGTGGTAGGCGCCTGTAATCCCAGCTGCTTGGGAGGCTGAGGCAAGAGAATCACTTGAACCTGGGAGGCAGAGGTTGCAGTGAGCTGGGATCACGCCATTGCACTCCAGCCTGGGCAACAAGAGCGAAACTCTGTCTGAAAAATTAAGAAAGAAAGAAAGAAAGTGGAGTCAAGCCCAGGTGAAATGTGGAAGGGACCTGAGTAGGACACTAAAGAAACCAGTAGCAGTGGGCGACTGTGGCAGGGTTTTTGACCATGTGTTGGCTGGGGTTTATGAAGTCTCTCATTTGAGTACGCTGTAATCTCCTAGGAAGAATGCCACCTAAGAAACAATCATTAATCTCTAGCTTAAAAACTACAGATTAAGAGATCAATGATTATAGCAGTCATTTTGGAAACTGTGATGGCAGAAGACAAGACTGTTGAACATGAGTCAGCAATGTAGGTGGTTGTGAAAAATAGCAAATTCTTTTCATTTTGTTTTTTTAGAGGTCTCACTGTATCACCCAGGCTGGAGTGCAGTGATGCAGTTGTAGCTCACTGCAGCAATCATAGCTCACTACAGCCTCAAACTCCTGGGCTCAAGTGATCCTCCTGGCCTCTCAAACCACTGGGATTACCAGGTGTGAGCCAGACACTCTACCCAGCTGCAAATGTTTTTTGCCTGTGCTGGATGTGCTGTGTGTGAGCCATGCTGCTGCTGCTGCCTCTAGGCAGCCTGATCAGCTTGGAGGCCACATGTTAGGACACTTTTAGCTATGTCTGAGAGTTCACAGGAACCCTTTCTAAGGATATTCTGCGGGGTAGGAGAAAGTTATTCAGAAGAAATTGTTTGCCAGTCATCAAGTACTGACACTGTGTTCTCTCTTGGATTTGATAGAGATGGATGATAGGTGTCAGAAATGTGTACGCTTGGTCTAAGGGAGAAAACAATTCCTGCATGTGTCCAATTGGTGGTAGGATATCAAGTAACTTACAGATGTCAGACACTTAGTTGCTGAAGAGGCATCAGCATATGACTTATTTATGAACTCATTGTTTTGAATTGGGAAATAAAATTTTAAAAGTGATTAGTTAAATATTATCTTTTTGGTCCAAATAAGCCTTGTCAAATTATCACATCTAATGTATTTTCTTTTGTAACAAAAGATTTAATGCACAAACCGTTGTCACACCGGCCATTACTAAGAATGGCTTGGTCAGTTGCCTGAGAAGTTCCCTATCCCATGTAGTTGATCCTCCTTATTCAGGGATTTCACATTTGTGAATTCACCTGCTTGCTAAAATGTATTTTAACCCCAAAACCAATACACAGAGCACTTCCACAGTCATTTTGAGACATGCACAGAGAAGTGAAAACGTTGTGTCATTCACTGCTTATGTTTTCAACTCAGGTCACACGGAGACACTTGGCTTTCACATACTGTACATGTGTCTTTTTTACAGTCTATTTAATACCTTGCTTTTAAACATTTTTGTGCTTGTTTTTGTTTTTGGTGACTTTGCTGTGTGTGCAGCAAAATGGCCCCGAGTGCAGTGCTGCAGTACTGTCCACTGCCCCCAAGCAGAGCGAGGTTGAGATGCACCTACAGAGAAAACACGTGTGTTAGGGAGGCTTCATGCAGACACAAGCTCTTGTTCTGTTGAGCATGAGTTCAGCATTATTGAATCAACAATATAGCACATCAGGCCAAGTCCAGTGACCTCATCCCTGTAATCTCAGTGCTTTGGGAGACGGAGGTGGGAGGATCACTTGAGCCCAGGAGTTTAGACCAGCCTGGGTAACATAATGAGACCCTGTCTTGAGAAAAAAATAATTTAAATACTAGCCAGGTGTGGTGGTGCATGCCTATAGTCCCAGCTACTTTGGAGGCTGAGATGGGAGGATCTCTTGAGCCCGAGAGGCCAAGGCTGCAGTGAACCAAGATTGTGCCACTGCACTCCAGACTGCACAATAGAGCAAGACTCCATCTCTAAAAAACAAACCAAACAAAAAACCCAATACAGTGCATCAGGGAAGAGGAGAGGAAGTTTGACAATATGTATAAAAGGCTGCCCTGAGACCTGTTAAAAGTATGTGCTAAATTCATGGATTTGTGAGATGACATCCAGTTCTAAAAAGCAGTGGGCAATATTGTTGTGAGGCTGAAAACCAAAGCAATGTATGTTCACATCACCCAGGGGCAGGAAAATGTTAACCCCTTCTCGGCTAGTGCTGGTTGGCACCCAAGTCTCAAAAGGGCATAAGGTGTGAGAAAGGTTAACTTTGCAGGCAAGGCAGGCTCTGCAGATCAGGAGGCTGAAGAAGAATTTAAAATACTTGCTTAATGTTATTCAGAAAGAGAGAAATGGGAAGAGTGGGTTTCCATGGCCGATGAGCCTGGCTTGTTTTATAGAGACATTGGTAGATGAGTCTATATAATGCAAATGACATTTTAGTTGATGAGAATCTCATGATCAGAGGCTCACAGGAACCTAACTCGTATTTTTCCTAGGGACAGTAGTTCAGTGTTTGCTGATTTGGTGTTCATGGCAACTCTGCAATTATCATGAATATTAGAATTGACTATGTATTTCAGACGTTGGTTAGCAGAGTTGACAGCGTCTGCCCCATTCCTATTTGGACATGACATGCAGTAGAACTGGGAACCTTGGCATTTGGTGCCATCCAGACTGTTGTCAGGATGCAACTGAAAACCTAGACACCATCATCATCAGTGTATCCTTCCAAACCCAGCAGCATGATTGAGAAGAAAAGTCAAAGACAACAAGTTCTATTTTGTTTTTGTTTTTGTGATGTTTTGCTGTTGAAAATAGGGTTATATTGTCCCTAAATCCTTAAAAGCACAGACACACCAAGAAAATCAGTGTGTAATTAATGTCCACAGCGAAATTTAGACCCACCTTTGTGGTTATATTATCATATATCTAAGACTGAAAATTATACAGATCATCTTTTGAAAGCTTTTAAACTTTTTAAAAGGATATTGAGGTATTAGTAAGATATGTTTTTGCACAGAGACCCAGGGACACATAAATCTAGCCTAGACCAATCACTTCTTCCTATAAGATCCTGATGGAAAAGAAATGGACTGAAAAATAAAAGGAAGTTAAGGAGTGTTTTCTGCTGTGCAGCATTGATCCCATGCACAAACTCTCAGTCCCATTAGAACTAGAACTGCTGGGGTAGGATCTGCCCACAAGCATCTTTTTAGCCTACTCTGGTGATTCTGGTTTACATCCCTCATAGAAAAGTAATGCTCTAGGTTAGAGCATGAGGACCTACTGAGGAATTTTAGCTCAGTGATTGACACCATCAAATTTAAACTTGAATGACTCTGATAGCCATAAGGAGAGAACTGGAGGCAGGGAGACCGAGGGGCTGCAGGTGTCCTTAAGTAGGGAGAGGTGGTCAAGCCTCCTGGGAAACTGATAAATGCATACATGCCTGGGTTCTGTCTGTCCTTGGAGATTCTGCTTCTGTGTGTCTGGAGTGTGGAACTAGAACATCTGTGCTTTTGAAAAACTTCACCAGTGATTCAGAGGCTTAACTGTGATTGAGACTCACACCTCTAGAAAATGCTTTACAGGCCGGGTGAAGTGGCTTATGCCTGTAATCCCAGCACATTGGGAGGCTGAGGCAGGCAGATCGCAAGGTCAAGAGATCGAAAACATCCTGGCCAACATGATGAAATCTCGTCTCTACTAAAAATACAAAAATTAGCTGGGCATGGTGGTGTGCGCCTATAGTCCCAGCTACACAGGAGGCTGAGGCAGGAGAATCACTTGAAACCAGGAGGCAGAGAAAAGTGCTTTACAAATCACAGGAGGAATAAGCATTCATATGCCCTGTCATGTAAAAGCCTCTCTCTCACAGCAATAAAGGACACACAGGATGATTGTGTGTGAGTGCCAGGGAGGCCGGGGTCAGGGTGCAAGTGTGCATGGCCATGGAGGCCTCTTCCTGTAGTGCTGCTATTTGGTTGTACAGTCTGTCTGCTGAGGCTTTAACTTCAATACACATCATATAGTTTCCAGAGCATCCTGTTCTCTATCTCAGAGGAACCTCTTGTGTCCATTCCCTGGCTTGCAGGGTAAATTGAAATTGCTAAAAGTTGTGTTTAGAGTAGAATGGATGGATTTGAATGCCTGTTGTAGCATCTGGAGCTGCCCTTTTGCTACCTAGCTTACCTTCTCTTAAGAGTCTCACAGCTTTTCCAAGCCCTGTCTGAATTATTTATTTCTAGGTAATGTGATCAAGCTGGAGGAACAGAAGTCAGACTTGGAGAGGCAGCTAAAGACTTTGACCAAACAAATGAAGGTGAGATGTGGACAAGAGCCTTCACCACTGTCTTCCTATAAATTACCCCCTCTGAGATCTGGGTCACTCTCTCTATACTGCTTTCTCTTGGAACATTTTCCCAGCATGGTGGGCCCTGGAACTGTAAATTCCTGTTGGCAGGAAGTAAAATCAAAGCAGTCATTTGGTGTCAGGATGGAGAACCTGAAGGTATAATTCCCACCAGTGCCTTTTCCTAGCCGTGAGACACCATGAAAGCAGGTCCTGACCAAGCATTGCTGGCATTCTTTCTCGGTGACCAACATGGGGACTCTGGGGTCCCTGCCCAGGCACCAGCCCTGGCAGACATCTGACACAGGGGTGGGCTCTGGCATTTCCAGGAGGAGACCGAGGAATGGAGGCGGTTCCAGGCGGATCTGCAGACCGCGGTGGTGGTGGCCAATGACATCAAGTGTGAGGCCCAGCAGGAGCTGCGCACCGTGAAGAGGAAGCTGCTGGAGGAGGAAGAGAAGAACGCCCGGCTGCAGAAGGAGCTGGGGGATGTGCAGGGCCACGGCAGGGTGGTCGCCAACAGAGCCGCCCCTCCGTGAGTCTGGTGGGCACCCGGGCTGCACTTGCTTCTCACTTAATCACTATGTGTGGGGCTCCGTGGTGAGGATGGGACTCTTCATGTCTGTGCCAGGCTTTGCTGTTTCCTTTCTGAGATTACCCTGCGTTACTACCACCACTGCACCACTAGGAACATTCTGTCCAGTACCCAGTCCCTGCCGTGTTCCAGCTTAAAGGGCTGCTGAACTCCTCACTTACATATGAGGGCAAGTTCTAGCCAAGTATCCTGCTAGGCTTAAAGAATAGAAGTCCTGTCTAGGGTGCCCCTTGAATCTTGGTATTTATTAATGCAGGGGAGTACACACTAATAAATATGAATCTACTACCTTGCACAGGTCATTCCCATGCAGTGGGAGAAGCTGGAATCGCACATTTATAAATAGTATTTTATGCTTTAATATGATATTATATTTACCCAATCAGGAATCATTATTCTTAACTTGAGATTCTTGGATATTAGGAAATGATTTTGAATTTTCAGGTGTCTCTCAAATATCGAACATGGTCTTTTTAGATCAGATTTCCTGGGTTTTGAATAGTGATCAGTTGGCCCTAATTTTTACATGTTTCAAAGATCAGTAGATGGCTCCTGAGCCTTTTGATCTGATGTTCTGTTATCATGAATTTCATGACATTGGAAAGAGGAGATTTTTCAGAATTCAGTTGTGATTCTCCTGTTAATTCTGCTCTAAGTAATTCCTTATTTCTTTGTTTATGACTTTTACATAAAGTGGCCTTTGGGGAAGGATAAAGATCAGATGTAGCTAGCTCCACAATTCACTCTTGGAAAATCAGACTCAAGATCGTTATTTCATTTAGTTACTTATTTTTAGAGATGGGGTCTCACTATATTGCCCAAGCTGGACTTGAAATACTGAGCTCAGGAGATTGTTCTGCCTCAGCCTCCTAAATAGGAAAACTAGATTTTGCAGTGTTCCCTCTTGAAGCAGTATTGAGGTCGTTCTGGGTGGCCTCGGTGTATGCTTTTGTTTGTTTGCCTCTGTCTTGCTTCCCTATTGTTTGTCATTGGAAGAAAATCCGAGTCAGAACTTGTGTTGCTTCACATGGACATTATTTTAATGATAAATGGTAAAAGACAGATCCTGAGTTTCTATGGTGGCCCTGAATGGGTTCTTGTATGAGATGCCGTGTTTCTTACATATATTCTGAGACACAGGCCAGACCATGCATCGTGAACCCTGATATTCTAGGAAATCTCTGCATGCATCTTGGCAGTTTAGGACTCCCTGTGCTGCATCCTGCGTCTTCAATCTTAACGTCACTTTAAAACACACACACACACACACACACACACACACACACACACACACACACACAGAATGTTTCTTTTTTGATTTTTCCAGTGATTTGCAAACTTACCAATCCAACAATTTAATCCCTTATCAAAAGACATTTCAAAATTTTAGAATGGACACCAATGAGAACATTTCCTGGTACTGAAATCAGGCCTCAGAACGTTTCTGCCTGTCAACGCATTTGGCAGGACGTCGGACAAATGCTGGGGATGGTTTCTGGTCTGATTTGCACTTCTCTGGCAAGCTCTCCCCTCTAAAGAGTTGACTATTTGGCAGTTAGTCGCTGATGGTTCAGCCACTTCCAGCACCTACCCAATGAGCAAGACTTGAAACCAACTCACACCCTCAAAGCTCCAGAAGCCACCTAGTGTTTCCATCTTGGCTGAATGAGTTCTTGATTGAAACTCAGGTTGACTTTGATAGTCATCTGATGAGAACTCAAAAGTCATTCTTGGTTCAGCCACAGCCAAAGAACTTACAGAGCATTCTCTGGCGAGGTCCTCAAGGACAACTGAGAGAAGGCAAGATCACCCGAAAAACACCTGGATCCCGACATGGGATTACCCGGTTCTTAAGCTCTGTTTGCGTTCATGGGCACTCATGGGGTTGGTTGCAGCCAGGCTGATAAGCAGGAGATGAAGCGCCCAGGCAGAAGTACAAGTCAGCATTCAATGCTGGAACTCAGTCACTGAACAGTGGGATATTATCTAACTCATCCATGATCTTCAGTCCTGTTACACTTTCGCAGATATCTTTATTTCAGAGTCAGAATAACTGATGTTAAGGTACGTGGGGATGGAAGGCAGTAGTCTCATCTTTGCAGTCAAACAGCAATATCTCATTCCCAGCCTCATGTTTGCAGTAATATCTCATTCTCAGCCTTGCCTCCTCCCTCTGTTAAAAGATGTGGGAAGAGCGGGTTGTTTTCAAGATCCCTTTAAAAAGCTCTGCTGTTCTCTGGACTGGCTGGTTAGCTGACCTTTCCATGGTGGGAGAATGAGAAAGTGCCAGCCTTAGCATTGTTCTGGTGCAGTACTTTGAATCTCTTTGACACAGTGGCATCTCCATATCTTAGTTGTGTCTTGTGGACCTGATCTTTCTCTTCCAGAAATGTGAACAAGCCATTGTGTTTTTAGGAACCTAAAAGTCACGTGTTTCACTGGATACATATAAATTAACAGATGAAAAGATAATAACATTTTCAGCTCTGGCTCCTCCCAGTTTTGAAAACTCTCGATTAAGAAAAAGGCTTTGAAGTGAAAACTGTCATTGAAAGGAACACATCAGATCTTTTTCCTGAAAAGTTGAGTCCTGGGGCCTGGCAAAATCAGGAAAAAACACAGGCAGCTCAATGTAATGATACGCTGGGCCATATAGAAGCTTTCTTAATGAAAGATGCTGTTCGTGAGCAACACATGGCACAGGCTTCTCAAGCAGCAGCAGGGAGAGACCTCTGTGTTCGTGGCATTTGTGTCTCTTGTTCTGAAACAGCAAATGCCATTACTTTTAGGGTGACTTGTCTAATTCTTACTGAGTTTTTCATATAACACCAGTAAACATCCAAGGAAAACATCTTTAAAAGCGATCGTTCAACACACTTAACATCTGTGCCTAATTAATGGTATTGGTTTCTAAACAGAATGTCTGTGATTTAAATGTGTTTTGCCTGCACCACCAGTTCTTGCATTGTCGCCTCTTGGAGGTGAGCAGCGTGGCAGCATAGCACTGCAGACTCCGCTGGAATTGGCTTAACTCCGTGTGTGCACATCTGTGTCAGCCTGAGCGTCACTGTGTGTGCCTGTGCCACCCTCTGTGTTGCTCTGATGGCTCTAATGGGTCACAGCTGCTCAGCATGTGTTCTCCAGCTACCATGGAAAGGGGGAGGGTGGAAGTTGGAGGTATAGATTCTTTAAGGTCCCTTTTCCAGCCACAGATGCTCTGATACCACGCCTGTTTCCCAGGTGGAGGAGGCCATTCTCCTGAGGACTTTTTTTTTTTTTTTCCAGATGGAATTTCACTCTTGTCATCCAGGCTGGAGTGCAGTGGCGGTGAAGTCGGCTCACTGCAGTCTCCGCCTCCTGGGTTCAAGCGATTCTCCTGCCTCAGCCCTGAGAGTAGCTGGGATTACAAGTGCCTGCCACCCTGCCTAGCTAATTTTTATATTTTTAGTAGAGACGGGGTTTTACCATGTTGGCCAGGCTGGTCTCAAACTTCTGACCTCAGGTGATCCACCTGTCTCAGCCTCCCAAAGTGCTGAGATTACAGGCATAAGCCACCATGCCTGACCTCCCCTGAGGATTAAGTAGTTTCTGAACAGAGCTCACCTTAGCACCCATGACCCACGATGGACAAGGGTCCTCAGCACTTAATTTGGCCCTTGATGCAGAACCTGGTCCTCTCATATGCTCTGACTCCAGCCAGCATTATCTGTTCACTCACATAGTACTTTTTTTCATAGTTTAAATGTACATTTATGACATTAGATACACAGTCTATAATTCTAAAGAGGTGTGTCTACCTCCCAATTTTAATAAGATTTCAACAGTGTGGACATAAACTTCCTTTAGGCCTTTAGGATTTTTAGCTTGCAATTATAAAAGCAAGAAGGTTTTTTGGCCTTGACAATAGAGAGAAGTATGAGCCTCTCTGTAAATTCTGGAGGGGCCGGTGGTGTTCATTGTGGACATCTCTTTCTTCACCACATAGTTCTTTTGTTGGAGAAGTTCTGGCGGAAGGAGCCTAGTACAGGCATTTGCAGTCTTTTTTTTTTTTTTTTTTTTTTTAATGTCTGAAAATCTTTGGCTTCCAAAAAATTGGAACAGTAGGAATTAAAACCTGTTGGCCTATCCTGCACATTAGCTTTTCCCTGTGGGACAGCATAAGCTGGAAATTCTTGCATTTATAAGCTAAGACTGTGTTGCCTTCGGTAACTCCTTTACAGCCTCTCCCTCCTGTTTCTATTTTCACAGCTCCCTGGGCTCTGTCAGCTAGCAGAGCATTTGGTGGAAGAAACACAGCCCAGCTCTTGCCATGATTGGGAGCCACAGCCATCTCTAGATGAAAGGGGGAATGTGTAGAGGAGAAATTGCCTCTTTATAAAGAGCCCAATTATCTCCTTGTGACATTCACTGTTTCTCAGTCATTGC